CCCCGGGAATGCCTTAAAATGCAAGATTATGCCATAAAATATGCTGCCATGTAAATATTTTGTGTTTAAAACTTGAAAAAACATAGTATCTGAACCTGTCAAATATCACAATGTCAGCTATATATATATGTATATATACATACATGGTGTAAATATATATATATATATATATATATGTATAGCTGAAATGACTATTAACTAACAAACTTTGAAATTATTGTGTATTTAAATTATTTATTTTTATTGATTTTCACCAATGAGCTTTTCTGTTACAGTTGTCAAAGCACCCTCTTTCTAACAAAAAAAAAGTTCTAAGAGACTAAACTAAAAAAAAAAAAAGAATGTGAATGTCAGCCGTCAACTGATATTGGAACGTTTGTATAACGGAAGTAGGAATACGTTGTACGACCTTTATTTCTGTTTGCAGGTCCGGTGCATGAGACACAAGTGTTAGTCGTTTGGGCTTCCAGCGGGCGTTCCAGTAAAGAAACTCGGCACGGTGGCTACGTGTGATTGATTGAAATGGTCTGTTTTTGAAAACAATTGTCGGTTGTATTTTGTTTGAAATGGTAGTCTTTCGGTCGAGAACGAAGTGCAATTTACGCTAGCATATGCATATGTTTTTCGTCCTAAATAATAAGCATAGCGTTGTCGTGGTAAATAAGAAATTGGGCTTTAACAGGAGTTTGAGCTTGAGCTGATGCACCTTTTTGAAAATATGACATTAACTTGCAAATATTGTTTTTCTGTACAGTAACCCATTCTACTGCAGAGCCACGAACGGTCCATCACTCAGATCAAGTACAACGGAGAAGGAGACCTTCTGTTTTCCGTCGCTAAAGATCCAGTGAGTGACACGAAATGATGCTTAACAAGTGCCACCAATGACTATAGGATAGTAATTAGTTTGACGTACAACTGAACAAATCTCCGAAAATAAGTTTCTCAAAATTGACTAAAAATACACTAATTTGCCTTAAAATACTTAGCTGTGTCCATTTTTGTGGTTAAAATTGAAAAATAATATACTTTTTTGCTACGCCATCCTTTGATCACAGTAAAATAATATATCAATAAGTTCCTGAACAAATCTCCGAAAATAGAAATTTCTCAAAATTGACTAAAAATACACAAATTTGCCTTAAAATACTTAGCTGTGTCCATTTTTGTGGTTAAAATTCAGAAATAATATACTTTTTTGGTACACCATCCTTTAATCACAGTTGAATACTATACCAACAAGTTCCTGAACAAATCTCCGACAAAAAAAAGTTTCTCAAAAATGACTAAAAATACACTCATTTGCCTTAAAATACTTAGCTATGTCTATTTCTGTTGTTAAAATTAAGAAAAAATAAACTTTTTTGGTACGTCAACTTTTGATCACAGTAGAATCCTATACCAGTAAATTCCTGAACAAATCTCCGAAAAAAAAAGTTTCTCAAAAATGACTAAAAATACACTCATTTGCCTTAAAATACTTAGCTATGTCCATTTCTGTTGTTAAAATTCAGAAAAAATATGCTGTTTTGGTACGCCAACCTTTGATCACAGTAAATACTATACCAATAAGTTCCTGAAAATATCTCCGAAAAAAAAGTTTCTCAAAATTGACTAAAAATACATTATATTGCCTCAAACTCTGTTGTTAAAATTCAGAAAAAATAAACTTTTTTGGTAGGTCAACTTTACATCACAGTAGAATCCTATACCAGTAAATTCCTGAACAAATCTCCGGAAAAAAAAGTTTCTCAAAAATGACTAAAAATGCACTCATTTGCCTTAAAATACTTAGCTATGTCCATTTCTGTTGTTAAAATTCAGAAAAAATAAACTTTTTTGGTAGGTCAACTTTACATCACAGTAGAATCCTATACCAGTAAATTCCTGAACAAATCTCCGGAAAAAAAAGTTTCTCAAAAATGACTAAAAATGCACTCATTTGCCTTAAAATACTTAGCTATGTCCATTTCTGTTGTTAAAATTCAGAAAAAATAAACTTTTTTGGTAGGTCAACTTTACATCACAGTAGAATCCTATACCAGTAAATTCCTGAACAAATCTCCGGAAAAAAAAGTTTCTCAAAAATGACTAAAAATGCACTCATTTGCCTTAAAATACTTAGCTATGTCCATTTCTGTTGTTAAAATTCAGAAAAAATAAACTTTTTTGGTAGGTCAACTTTACATCACAGTAGAATCCTATACCAGTAAATTCCTGAACAAATCTCCGGAAAAAAAAGTTTCTCAAAAATGACTAAAAATGCACTCATTTGCCTTAAAATACTTAGCTATGTCCATTTCTGTTGTTAAAATTCAGAAAAAATAAACTTTTTTGGTAGGTCAACTTTACATCACAGTAGAATCCTATACCAGTAAATTCCTGAACAAATCTCCGGAAAAAAAAGTTTCTCAAAAATGACTAAAAATACACTCATTTGCCTTAAAATACTTAGCTATGTCCATTTCTGTTGTTAAAATTCAGAAAAAATAAACTTTTTTGGTAGGTCAACTTTACATCACAGTAGAATCCTATACCAGTAAATTCCTGAACAAATCTCCGGAAAAAAAAGTTTCTCAAAAATGACTAAAAATACACTCATTTGCCTTAAAATACTTAGCTATGTCCATTTCTGTTGTTAAAATTCAGAAAAAATAAACTTTTTTGGTAGGTCAACTTTACATCACAGTAGAATCCTATACCAGTAAATTCCTGAACAAATCTCCGGAAAAAAAAGTTTCTCAAAAATGACTAAAAATGCACTCATTTGCCTTAAAATACTTAGCTATGTCCATTTCTGTTGTTAAAATTCAGAAAAAATAAACTTTTTTGGTAGGTCAACTTTACATCACAGTAGAATCCTATACCAGTAAATTCCTGAACAAATCTCCGGAAAAAAAAGTTTCTCAAAAATGACTAAAAATGCACTCATTTGCCTTAAAATACTTAGCTATGTCCATTTCTGTTGTTAAAATTCAGAAAAAATAAACTTTTTTGGTAGGTCAACTTTACATCACAGTAGAATCCTATACCAGTAAATTCCTGAACAAATCTCCGGAAAAAAAAGTTTCTCAAAAATGACTAAAAATGCACTCATTTGCCTTAAAATACTTAGCTATGTCCATTTCTGTTGTTAAAATTCAGAAAAAATAAACTTTTTTGGTAGGTCAACTTTACATCACAGTAGAATCCTATACCAGTAAATTCCTGAACAAATCTCCGGAAAAAAAAGTTTCTCAAAAATGACTAAAAATGCACTCATTTGCCTTAAAATACTTAGCTATGTCCATTTCTGTTGTTAAAATTCAGAAAAAATAAACTTTTTTGGTAGGTCAACTTTACATCACAGTAGAATCCTATACCAGTAAATTC